CGAAACAAATTAAAGCAAAACGAGATGCGTGGGAGAAGCAGGATACGCCTCTTTCATATCTACATACTCTAACGAAATGGAATGCAAATTACCAGGTGAACACAAGAGTTTCTTCTTATTCTTATTCTTACCACCAGGTGAACACAAGAGCAAACTCAAGCAAGCGGAAGAGGTGAACGACCTCATGTTATTAGAACGTCGACCCCGGCCGAGGATGTGCCGACAAGAATATAAAGAGCCACAGGAGGAATTTAGAGAAGTTTGGGAGACAGGAGGTGGAAAAGCAGCACAAGCGAAGAGTTTGCCGGCACAACCAAAGCAGCAGCGCAAGCGAAGAGCTAGAGCTGCCAGTGCAAAGGAGCCCAAGGAGAAGAAGCCGAAGGAGGAGGACCACGAGAAGCTCGAGCGGCAAAAAGAATACCAACAGCGAACAAGGCAGATCCAAGAACTCCAACAACAACTCCAACAAACAAATCAAGCAGTACTTTCTTTTCAACGGCCTCGAGAACCACAGGCGAACAGTTTCAACAAACAATCGTTCGAGGAAGGCGCTAGGCAAGCTAAAGAATCACTCGAATGGGGGATATCGCAAGCAACAGCAATGAACAAAGAAGCGGCCGCTCTAAACGCAGAAAGAGCGAAATTACAGCACCAGCATTACTTGGATACTACTCGCGGACCTCCTCCAGCTCAATCGCAAGGCCAGAGTCAATCGCAAGGCCAGAATCCGACCATGTTTGCACCTCCACAAACACCGCAGGCTCTTTTGCACGCACCAGCTCCAGCTGCACTGATGCTAGCAGCTGCAGCACATGCCCAGCATTACATGGATACTACTCGCGGACCTCCTCCAGCTCAATCGCAAGGCCAGAATCAATCGCAAGGCCAGAATCCGACCATGTTTGCACCTCCACAAACACCTCAGGCTCTTCAGGCTCTTTTTGCACTGGCAGCACCAGCACCAGCTCCAGCTGCACTGATGCTATCAGCTGCAGCACATGCA